AATGATTTCCATAAAAAGGGCTTAGAGTTTTATTTTCATGGAGCTTCAGAGTAGGGCAAACCTCCAGACCCTTTTGCTTTTTTCCTCTCCTTACACTGGGGTGAATCTGGATTGACTGAGACCTCTTAGTTGTTTAGAAGGTCAATTAGGACTGGCAAGACCTTGTGTGGGTAGAGTAGAAGATTGGATCTGTGTTTAACTCTGCCTCGTAACTACCATGTTCTCACAGAGATAAATCCCATCTCTGAACTGGTAACTTCGTCTCTGCCTCTCTCTCTCCCCCCTCAACCCCCAACAGATACACAACATGAAACAATCATCTTAGGTCCTGCACTCATCCTCTCTTTGTTTACTAACTTTCATTAATTATCCTACAAAAAAAGCCCAAACTTTGTGTTTGGTTGTTAAGGTTTGCTGTGTTCTGATTCTAATCAAGTCCTTGGAGATCTTTTCCTTCTGCTCTCTGGGAATGCACTTTGCTTGCTGAATTTTCTGCATGCGTTCACACTATTCTCTCTCAAGCTCTGGCTAGCATTTTCCTAGCTTCCTGGAATGTCCTTCCCATCAATCACTACCCATCCTTCTGGCAGGATAACAACTCAGCTTCCTCTGAGGAGGTGAGGAATGCAGAACCTTAGTTGGACCTGGGTGTGAGAACATATCCAATCTCTTACTACCTGGAAGCATCTAGGTAGGTTATTCCCTTTCTTTGGACTCAGTTTTCTCATCTGTAAGATGGGCTAGTCTGCACCTAACCCTACGCCTTATAAAATCTATATATTCTAGTCATTTTATAAAGTACTTAACAGAGTTCCCTCTACAGTGGTAAAAATTAAATTTACATATTATTCTAATTTCAAAGACCTGCACTTCCTTCTCTCTGTGTCCCAAGCACTCCAATCTCTTCTTAAGTTTTCCTATGCTCATCTAATCTAGGGTTAGGGTTAGATACTGGCATTGTAGTATCTGATACTTGCATTTCCTATATTGAAATGCATGCTTTATTTCCCCTGGCCTTTTGATCGTGCCTCGAAGCTAGGCTAATGTTTCAGTTCGGCTGTCACCTCTGTGTTGCCCCTTAGCTATAGACTATTGCTGATATTTCATGTGCAAAATTACTGGGCAAAGTTTGTTTTGCTGCAGCTTCTCTCATTGTTCTCAAAGTTCACGTTTGAGAATGAGAAGAAATTATTTAACATTAGTTTAAAACCTTTTTTGCTACGGGCTGGAGCGAGAGCACAGTGGTAGGGCGTTTGCCTTACAAGCAGCCAACATGGCCAACATGGCCGACCTGAGTTCGATTCCTCCGCCCCTCCCGGAGAGCCCGGCAAGCTACCGAGAGTATCTCGCCCGCACGGCAGAGCCTGGCAAGCTCCCCGTGACGTATTCGATATGCCAGACACAGTAACAACAAAGTCTCCAATGGAGACATTACTGGGCCTGCTCGAGCAAATTGATGAACAACGGGAGGACCGTGCTTAGACTGTGCTTAGTTTAAGACAATCAACTCCCTTAGCTACTAGGACCCAGTTGCTGTGCTTGTCTTTCATAGAAATATTTTAGACAATATGGTAATTATCTGGGGTAGACTGATAATTACCATAAAATTTATCTTTCAGTTAAATTTGAGAAATTTAATTATTTAAGGGTCATCTGACCTCTATTTATTATGCGCATTCAGCCTCTCCTTTTTCTTAAGACATTTTCATTGGGGTAACATTAGGTTACAAGAGTTTATATGATTAGGGGGACAATACCACCTTATCACTTCTACTACAGAAGTTTCAGTATCGCACCTCACCTTTTCCCGGTGTAGTACTCATTGCATGTCTTGTGAGATTCTCCTTGGGGTGGAGTGTTAATATCATTACCTGGTGAGTTTAACAAACATTAGATTGCAACGACCCAGTCGTGAGGCTGGAGACATTTTAGTTGGCGAAGGAGTGTGAGAATTCCTGTAGTGAAGAAACCAGCACTTAATATAGCTAAAAAGAATCGCCAATTTTCACGAAACTCTTATTCTCTGCTAGTTTTTGATAGTGGGCCTTTTTATGAACTCTCAAATTCAATCCTTAAAGCGAGCCTGTAAGATAGAATCATTATCTTCACTTTTGTGCTGGAGAAACTGATCCCGGATGGGTCCAAGCTGGTCAGCTGGCCCCGGGTAGTGCTGGGATTTCGAATACACCTCTGAGGCCTTAGAGCTTTGGTTCTGGGCATTTACCCACGGCCCCAAATTCTTCGACCTGGAAATCTAGTACCAAAGCCTCTTACAAAAACAAACAAACAAACAAACAAAAAACAAGCAAACAAAAAACCATGAATGCCAAATACTAAGGCAGAGCATACCAAAGACATCCGGATTGCAGACCTTAGTCTAAAGTCCCCTGTGAACGAAGGGCTTGCAGAAATACTGTGTCAGGAGTCTATTGCTTATAAGGGCTAGGATAGACACTGTAACTCAACAAACCTCATACCCGTCTGCTCTCTACCTGGAACTTAACCAGCACTCTTTGGCACGGTGCTCCACAAGAGACCCAACAGCCAAGCAAGCATATGGATGGGGCTAAAGGGCGTAGTCTTGCAACTTGACCTACTGATCACACAGAAGGGTTCCCCCATAAAGTCACATTCAAATGAGTTCATTTGAATGTGACTCTGAAGGAAGGAAGTATAAAATATCACGAGCAAGGCCAGCAAGAGCAGCGCATTTGACAGAGATGGTGAGCCAAGGCAGGGTGGAGTGAACCCCGGTTCGAGACTGTTCTCCCTGCGCCAAATAGCCTGGGAGGTGTCAGGCTGCACATCCCAAAGGGCATCTCGGGGTTCGTGGCTTATTCCTCAGAATACTTGCAAAACTGTGCTGGCCTTACCATTTGGTAAGAGCTTTGGCGAAGTCCCAGGCAGAGAATCCCATAGGAGAATTGTTGAATTACCGGGGCATCTCTTTCCCAGCCCTGGGACCACAGTCTTGGGGCCTGACACCCCCTGTCACCTGGCGGAAGCCTGCCTCAAGCCCGGGCCCAACATTGGCTGGTGCTTCACCAGTGAACACGCTCCTTCCTGCTCCTTTGTCCCCCCAGATATGGTCTCTCTCCCAACCTCTCAGAGGTGCGAGGCCCGATTAGGTCATTCCGGGTGTCTCATCAAGGTCCTTTAGGGGACAGTCCGGACCTGTCCTTTCCAGGTTGCAAGACAAAGCCTGGGCCTCCGTGAGTCAGCTGGATTGGGGTTTCACCAGCAACCCGAGTTTCGTTTGTGCTGTCCTCTCCGGGCCTCCTCGAACCCAGAGGAGGGGCTTGGCAGATCTGGCTTCAAGTCTAGCAGGGAACCGGGGATGGAACAGCACCCTCCTCCCCCGCATCCCACCCCGCAGCCGCACTGCGCATGCTCGGCCGCACCCGTCCCTGGAGTGCACTCAGGCGCCCTGAAGTCACCGCCGTCCCAGCTCTCCCGCTGTCTGCGATGAAGTCATGGGGTGGGGTCCTGGAGACCCCTCTCCGAGGGTGGGGGCTTCCCGGTCTGGCTTGGGAACGGGCCGAGCGATGAAGAGGCAGGGACGGGAATCGCAGCGTATCCTCTGGGTCCTGCTCTCCAGGTTACTGGGCCTGCAGGATCCAGGAGGATGCAGGCGTGGGACCCGCGCGGCCTCCGTTAGCCAGGACGGACGGAGAAAGCAACTTTCTCCCGAGCACCTTGCACCCTCCTCTCCCTTCCCCGGCTTCTGCCCTTCTCTGAGCCACTCTTGTCCTTGCCCTGAGACCGGCACAGGCAGAGGTCACAACAGTCCGCTTCACATCCTTAGAATTTCACCCAACATTCCAGGAAATTGCAGGGCACTCTAGCACACATGGCCGGAGCAACGGCTAGGAGCAACCAGACCAGCCAGAGGCATTTGGAAGCCAGCATCTACCTACCTCGCCTGCACGTTTCCCCCCGGAGAGAATGTGCATGCTGTGTTTCTGTCACTGTGGATTTTGCTGACTGACCTTGGGGAGCTGGGCTCCCCAAACCACTCACGCCAGTTCCAACTCACAAGGCTTTGTGAAAAACCTCTGTGAGGAGTGCTTAGGTATTCACGGAGGAATAAACGTGGAGCTCTGCTGAAGTCTAAGCCGTCAGGAGGAATTTGCAGATCTCCATGGATAGCAAACCCCGCGGCAGCAGGAAACCCAGATAACAGAGACCTATTCAGGGAAATAGGAGCATCACAACTCACACACCTCCGCCTAAAACCACAATTGATTTAGGATCACTCAGCTCCAGGTCCTGCCAAGAAGGTAAATCCCCCTCTGAGGTAAATAGCCTTGTCCTTCCACCCACTGTGACTTCACTAGCTGACTTGAACCGCTTTATTCCCCTCCTAGGACCCAGCCTCGGTAACATCCTCTTGTGGTGTTTCACAGGAAAAGCCCAATGATTTATTTCACTTTGAGAACCATATTCTGCCAAATGAGTTTATGAGGATTATAGGAACTGTGTTTTTTTAAAAACTAGGGGAATGAGATTAAAATCTTCTCCTGGGAGTTTCATTTCAGAGTAAATAAAAAGTCCGGAAGTCAAGTTTGCCTATGTCAAAATAGAAAAACACAGAAAGTCTGACCTTGGCAACCAAGTAGCCCACCACCACACCAATGAATGCCAGACACAGTTGATGGGAGATTTTATAGATCTGCACACAATTTCTACGAATCATGACACTTTCCATAGAGTCGAAGACAGTCCACAGAGGCTCATGGATCAAGCGGAGTAGAAAGCAGCAGAAAACATTGCCGCTGAGGTTTTCTAATCTCCAATTTAGCAGTACTTGACATACGAACGTTCTCCGACACAAGGCATTTCTTTACAAGTAGCTATCTTAACTTCTTCCAGTAAATATTTATGTCAAAGGCAGGAGAGAGAGAGAGAGAGAGAGAGAGAGAGAGAGAGAGAGAGAGAGAGAGAGAGAGAGAGAGAGAGAGAGAGAGAGAGAGAGAAACCACAGAGAGAATGGTACTCACCTTTTCTAGGCAAAGATGTCAAACTTTCCCCTGAACATGAAGCTTTCTGGTTTTAGCTGTCCCATGAATTTAGAAACCTTCAAAATTTTCAAGCAGAAATATGGTTTGCGTCTTCAAAGCTGCTTCAAAACAATCCAAGAAAAGAACTTGATGGAAAAATCAAGTGCTCTTCTGAGCCTGAGAATATGTCTGACGCCGGGGGTTCATGCTATCTTTCCGAGGGCTGCCACCGTCTTTTGCAGTTGAAACAATCCCCTGCTCCTCCCAGGCACTTGCCAACTTCTATAATTTAAAGCAACTGTGATCCTTCCCATAAGACTCACATTTCAAAGAGCTTAATCTATACTCTCGTTAGGAGCGGGTGTCATTCTTCTGCGAGCTCCAGGCTGAACGAGGAGCAAAGGTTTCCGGTCTCCAGATAGTTGTGTTTCTCTTTTTCATCTGTGCTCTTCTCTCTGTGTCCCTCAAGTAGCTTTTGCCTTTTAAAGAGATGCCTTGAGACGAAACAGCATCGCTTCCCTGGAAGCAGAACCCGTGTGTAGGGAAACTTATGTTTGTCTCCACAGTGGAACAAGGAGTAACTTTGTGAAACTGTGCTTCAACATCCAACTTGTGAGCACGGAGATTGCTATACACTTTTTCCCACTTATCTATCAGTTGGAAAATTTAAAATAAGCGCAGATTGTTTTCATAGGAGAAAATATCTAGAAGGATTTTTTGCACTGATTTTATTTAAAACTTTTTTCCATATATGAATATCACAAACTTTGAGAAGGACTAATTTTGACAATCTGATCACATGGCAGAAAAACCTTAATATTTAGCCTGTGAATGTTACAATTGCAGTGGTAACAGTTTTACTGTTTTCACCCTCCTTCTTCAATTTTGTGGTCTTTGTTGCTGTCTTTCTTAAAACACTTGCACATATGCAAATTTAAATTTAAATTTAAAATATAGTCAATTGAAGTGCCATTTACATTTTAACAATTTTTTAAATAGTCTAACTTAAAACAGATTTTTTGGGTATCTGGTAGATAATTGTACTATGTGATCACTTAATGTATAAAGGCACGACAGGGATTTGACCCATCAACAAGTTCTGATCATTTTGATTTGTTTGTATGTTTTCATTAGGGAGCATTATCTGTCGAAACTTGTCCAGCTAATAGGACAGTGTGCGCCTCTGCCAGAATTAGTGCATAGTTGTGATAAAACTGAACTTCCTACGTGAAATAGGAAACATCCATTAAATAAATAAACGATGTGACTTATTTATTATTCCTAAACATGCTGACACAGGCAGCGTTGATGAAGAAGACTCACAGTTTAAAACATTGGCAAGTTGCAAGACCCCAGAAAACTCACATGTTATTTTTTTAAAAATCATATTTTCTGGTATGGGTTCTCAGTCACCTCACAGTGCAATTATGCTATGGGCAGAGGATCAAATCTCCGACTGGATGAGTGAGAGAGAGTCTAAATCTGGGAGGAGAGGGGCAGGTTTCAGGAGATCTTGCTTCAGCAGCAGAGGAGAGAGGCAGAAATCTGGTCCTGCTCTGACTCCCACTGAGGAAACATCTGGAGCTGCAAGTACATGAGTTGGACACAGTGCAGTTATGTGACCTTAGATTTGTTCAATGCTAGACTCATGGGCTTCCTTAATTGTGAAAGATAAAATGCAAATGTGATTTTTGTCTACAATGTATAATTTTTTTATATACAATAGAATGAGAGATAGCACAGGGGCGTTTACCTTGCACGTGGTCGACCCGACCAACCTGGGTTCAATTCCTCCGCCCCTCTCAGAGAGCCTGGCAAGCTACCTAGAGTATCTGGCCCGCACAGCAGAGCCTGGCAAGCTACCTGTGACATATTCGATATGCCAAACACAATAACAACAAGTCTCAAAACGGAGACGTTACTGGGCCTGCTCGAGCAAATCGATGAACAACGGGAGGATGGTGACAGTGGGAGAATCCTATTATAGATATATTCCTAATATACATTTTCAACAAGCATTCACTAAGCACCTCACTACATAGCAGATTCTTGGTAGGACTGAAATTTTGAGTCACTGATTATTTTCACAGATGCTAGCTTTAGTCTCCCAAATACACACATATGCACAAACTTAGTTCAGGGTGGGGAATTTTCAATGTTAATTAGCACCAATAAAAGTAAAAGTAAAGGCCCTCCCGTTGATCATCGATTTGCTCGAGCGGGCCCAGTAACGTCTCCATTGGAGACTTTGTTGTTACTGTGTCTGGCATATCGAATACTCTCGGTAGCTTGCCGGGCTCTCCGAGAGGGGCGGAGGAATCGAACTCGGGTCGGCCATGTTGTCTGCGTGCAAGGCAGATGCCCTACCCGCTGTACTTTCGCTCCACCAATTAAATAATATTAAAATATAGTCTCTTGCAGATAGGTGTTACCTTAAAAGATTTTTGAAAGATTAAATGAGATGGCATATGCCAAGAATGCAGAGCATGATCTTTCTGACACAATATGAACTTCTCATCAAACGAGACTTGTTTTTATACTAACCATACATTCCCACTTTCTTGCCCTTTCAGCACAAATGTAGCTAAATGCCTGTCGCACTATGAATAAATAATGAAATTTATTATCATACTTCTATAAATTTAAGTTTTATCAATGTTGCCCTAACAGGCTAAATTAGAAGCCATAGAAAAGTGAGTGACAGAATACATGTTGCTTTCTATCCTTAAAAATATATTTATTTTAAAAGTAAATTTTTTAATGGGGTGATGTCAGATTTTACAGCCTTCAAAACAAGGCATGAAGGACATTATAAACCCTGAGTTACCAGTTAAATATGATCCTTTGATTTTTTAAAACTACTGTAATCTCCCCTTACCCAAACATTTACTCTAGTTCATATTCAAAGCAAAATATCTGATATTGATTGCTTTGGAGTGATCCCAATAGAAGTGAGGTAAATAACTCATTAATGCTAGTTGTGTACTAAATCACCTTTATGATTTAGTGTATGTTTTTTCTTCTGGTTTTGAAGTGTTCAAATCAGAGGTTCCAGAAAACTGTATCTTGTTTCTACCTCATATATTTTGAGAACTCCTAGAAATGTGGTTTCCTTTATTTCATAAACTCTGAAAACAACTAGACCTTTGATTTTTAATTTTTTGTCAGATAGTGATTTTTTATTATAGATTAGACAATATGGCTAAAATAGTGTTAAACTTTTTTTATGTTGTGGTAATAATTCTCGTAGGAGTGATAGCACAGAGGTAGGGCGTTTGTCTTGCACGCAGTCAACAAGGCTGACCCGAGTTCGATTCCTCTGCCCCTCTCGGAGAGCCTGGCAAGCTACCGAGAGTATCTTGCCTGCACAGCAGAGCCTGGCAAGCTCCCCGTGACGTATTTGATATGCCAAACACAGTAACAACAAGTCTCACAATGGAGATGTTACTGGGCCTGCTCGAGCAAATCGATGAACAACGGGAGGACCGTGACCGTGATGTTGTGGTAAAAGTACTTGTGTTTCTCATTGTTTTAATTTTTTTTAGGTTAAATTACTATAAAATACAGTTACAAGGTTGTTCATGACTGGATTTCAATCATACAATATTCCAATATCTGTCCCTTCACCAGTGTACATTTCCTACCACCCGTGTCCCCAGTTTTCCTCCCTCCACTATCCCTACCTTCTCCCCCACCCCTGCCTGTCCCCTGCCCCAGCTTGCCTCCCTGGCAGGTTGTTGTTGTCGTTGTTGTTGTTGTTGTTGTTGTTGTTGTTCTTCTTCTTCTTCTTCTTCTTCTTCCTCTTCCTCTTCCTCCTCCTCCTCCTCCTCCTCCTCCTCCTCCTCCTCTTCCTCTTCCTCTTCCTCTTCCTCTTCCTCTTCTTCTTCTTCTTCTTCTTCCTCTTCCTCTTCCTCTTCCTCCTCCTCCTCCTCCTCCTCCTCCTCCTCCTCCTCCTCCTCCTCCTCCTCCTCCTCCTCCTCTTCTTCTTCTTCTTCTTCTTCTTCTTCTTCTTCTTCTTCTTCTTCTTCTTCTTCTTCTTCTTCTTCTTCTTCTTCTTCTTCTTCTCTCTCTGTCTGTCTCTTTCCTTCTAGGCATTATGGTTTTCAATATCGGTTCTGAGAAGTTATCCTGTATATCTCCTTACCTCCTTTCAGCACTCAGTTCTTTTTCAGAGTGATCATTCCCAATTAGCATTTTATTTTTTATAATTGTAAAAGTCATGCCTACAATAATTGTAAACACTAGTTGAGCATTATCTATGCACCAAATATTCTGTAAGTGTTCTAATTCATTTCATATTCTCAACAATTGCACGAGATTGAGGCTCAATCAATCAATCACAACCATCCTGTTATTTGTCGATTGCCTCAAGCAGGCCCCATTAACGTCTCTTTGTCCTAGCCCTGAGATTTTTTTTAAAAAGTGCCATATTCAAGGCTCTTTCAGAGTTAGGAGAATGAGACCCTTCATTGTTACTGGTATTTGGCATATTGGGTATGCCACGGGGAGTTTGCCAGACTCTGCCATGTGGGCAGGTTACATTCGGTAGCCTGCCAGTTTGTCTAAAGTAGGAATGAGATGATAAGATGTCGTGCAGCCGCGAATGCAGCCGCGCGCTTCCGGGAGCTGGGTTTTATAGTCTCTGAATCTTGGCCGTTGATGGGATTACATGGTGCCAGGGGGCCAGTTGGTGGGTGTGACCCCCGCCTACTGGAATTTGGAGGATCTGGGTGGAGGATGCCCAGCCCCAATCCGAGTAGGCCTGGAGATTGAGGCTAAATAATTTTATTTCATGGATGGGGAAGCTAACGTTCAGAGAGGTTAAGTGACTATAACAAGGTCACACAGACTATATGTTAAAAAGCTGGGATTTGAATCTGGGCTGTCTGGCTCCACTGCCTGAATTCTTCTATATGATTGTTAAAACACATTGATCATGTCAGATGAAGAAATGCATATGCTAGCACCTTATGCATTTTTTTAGTTTTCACTAGATTGGAGATAAGTGCAGATCATTTCTGAAAAACACACTAAACCCTTAGACGCTGCAGCTTATTACTGAGGAAAACATGTACTTCTATCTGAAATAATAATGAAATTTATTTTCTTCCCACATATTAAGCTTTGTGTCCTTGAGTTTTAATTCTTTCTCCTTTATATTTATGCAACAGTTAAGTTTCCAATCACACACTGAAACTCTGGCCACTATCTGGATTTATATTAATTAATTTGTGGCTTGAGGGCCACACTTGGGAGTGCTCTGGGCTTACTTCTGGTCTCTCTCTGCTCAAGGATCATTCCCAGTTGGACTTGGTGGACCATAGGTGGTGCTGGGGGATTGCACCCAGGGTGGCTTTATGCAAGAAAACCACCTTACTTGCTGTGCTATCTCTCTGGCTCGACTACTGAGTTTTATAAT